AACTTTTTTTGTAAGGGGGGAATATCATCGAATGACTGCTCCCGTCTGGGTGAGGCGGGAGGGAGTGTTAGACTCTTACTGACTAAAAACCACCCCGTTCCTTCTCCTGCGCTTCGAGCCAGAGCCCCGGTTAACCCGTTAGGTTCTCCGCGACTTAAAGAGAACTTAACCTTAACTCTTGGGAGAGATGTGAGTTTATTTATATGATTGTTAATCTGAATACGGTTTATCTCTTAAGGAAAAGTTTTGCCATTTATCCTTAAACTTGGTAATTTCCCCAGGAATAGCGGTTAGGTTACCGATATTTTCTTCAAATAATGTTACTGCCTGTGGTATGAAGACTGGTTGCAGTTTTAAGGTATAACCAGGTTCATGCCTATGAGACGGCCATGACTTCAAAGACTTCCAAATCGGTGGTCTGGGAGCGATTATTAATTTACCTGGAGAGATGAATATACTTACAACCATAAACAGATTGTTCATGAAATACGAAGGATTTTGATGAAAAATGCAGGTGGGAAGCACTCATCAAGTAGAATATGTAAGTACTAAGTTCCTAAGCACCCGTGGAAACGTCCGCATTGCTATAAACTGGAAGTAATTACGAATTCACAAGTCATAACCCTCCAACGAGCGACGAGACGTAATAAATAAATTGTAACAAAACTCGTTTCTGAATGCCATCAAAATAATTCTAAAGGTCGTGCTTTTGCGTTTATAAAATAACAAAAATATTCATTTTATTAATACTCGAGAAGCAATGTATGGTAAAAAAACAAGAACAGGTTGCAAAAGATTGTGCCGAGTACGTTCCATAACGTCATTCGATATTTTAAAATCAGACTTTGAGTAAACAAGTCGTGTCTTGTAATTCCTTTGTTCGGTTCGGGTAAGGATTTTTTTTTAGTGTTTAGTCGTGGCGTTGAGACGCCCCCTTTACCATGGGTCGTTTGGCGCGTGCGCGAACATTTTGACATAGGTTAGCACAGCACCTCAGCCTCTTTCAGTGTAGCAGTAGTGTTACTGAACACGCCCGTATCTCAGCGCTCCAGTGCATTATATTCACATACAACTAATTCATCACACGATTTTTTTCTTAGGTAAGTCCTGTTTTACGTAAATTTCTTCTATATGTACTTTTTCAGTAAAAACTCTATTTCTATCTGTTTGCTCGGACCTCGTTTTTATGAGATAAATATCAGATTATAACATTAAAATTCCCCTCTGAATAATTCTACATACATATTATTGTAATCACTTATATCTTTGTCTATAATTCTGTCTGTACGTATTGTTATTTAAAATGTAAAGAAAATGTACTGAAAAGCTACAGGATCCGAGATAACATTATTAATTGATGGCTCACTATGACCTACTTAACACTGTTCCATTAACAGACAAATCATTATGATCTACGTGTCGATACACAATGTATAATATATAATCTTATATGTAACTATACTCTTATATATTATGAAATTACTTAGTAACAAATAATTATGTTTGAAATCGGTACCTACCTACTACCTTGCTGTTTCATTTCAAATAAATAATGCATTAAGGCAAAAAGCGGGTTACGGAAAGGAGATCCAACCAGTTAATGTACCATACTGACATTTAGTTGCATCTCATTGAGATTGAGCCGTTAAAATCAACTGGGGAAAGACCAGTACAAAAAAAATTTAAGGAAAAGTAGTTAATAAAAATTTTGCGGAAGAACACTGCACTACAGAAAAAATTACAGCGTGTTAATTTGACAAGCTGTTGGCTGAATAATATGACGTAGCTTTTTTGGTGATAGGGTAGCTATTTTTTTCTTTCCCCTGGGTTTTTCCTAACGACGATATGAGTTAGCACTTATTCTTAACTCTTGACCAGAACCAGAATCTCATATAGTGAGTCTATCTGCCCTAATCCCTCCACTATCAGCAAAAGGGTGCATATTACTGTACCAGTTGTTGTCTGTGACTTCGTTCGCGTACAATATGGCTCCTGTTTTACGCCATGTGACCATTTAATCGGGATAAAAAGTATCCTATCACCTAAGTTAGCCCATACCCTGCCTGTATATGCCTGTATACCAAAGTTCATCATAATCTGTTCAGTTTTAGCATGTTTAACGGACAAACATCAAAACAAAGAAACTTTCATATTTATAATATTAGTGTGATGTGTTTCGTTAGCCTTGTTATAACATTTTTGATGCGTTTGATTAACTGCAACGGCTGTCATAGAGAGGTTGTTCTTGATTTTAGGAAACCTTATCTAAAGTTGTTGGAGATGGAGAACACGTAAAAACATTTAGATACGGCCTTTATATATGACCGAGGCAGAAGAAGCTGTGGTGAAATGAACTATAAAATATTAGTCTGTATTTCCTGAAGGGCGTAATAATAATAATTATAACCTGGGTGTCTTCAAGGCCCGAGTGAATAGGTTGCGTATGGGACGACGTGCTCCATCGTAGACCGCATCATCGCTTACCACCAGCTGAGATAGTGGTCAAACGTCAGCCAAATATAAAAAAAGATAGTGACACCTATTTTGATATTGAGTACAACTTTACACAACCAGAAGAAAAATAATAGAAATAGAAAGAATCTTCGATGACATTTGCTATGTTAACTAATTTAAATTCCTATTCATTTTGGTTTAAAATTATGAATTCAAAATGAAGACAGGTTCTATCTTATAGATTTTAATTTAACAAAAACTTGTTTATCAGTTGCATACGGGTCTAGAATTTTCTCTTTGGAACTTTAGCTTTTTAGATTGCTTCTGATCTATAAAGCAGTGTTCTAAGCGAAGCTTTAGAGCATTGTTACCATGACAGACGACTGTTGAACTTAGATATGAGCTACTTATCGGATCAGCCGGTAAATGAGCAGACTGATCACCTGATGGTAAGCCATTGGCGTCGCCCGGCCTTTGGTGGATTTGAGGATTGTGGGGGCTTCGGGGATTAGGGGGGGGGGGGTAATTTGGCCTCCGGTAGCCTCACTCACACGACGAAACACAACGCAAGCGCGCGTTGTTTAACGTCGGTTTCTGTGTGGCCGTGGTATCACTCCGGTAGACTCGCCCATTCGTGCCGAAGCATTGCTCTCCATTGAAATATGTATTTTTTTAGGGTGGAAAATCAATTTTGTGCTATATTCCTGACTAATTGCAAGATTTGCATACATACGATAGTAGGAGGTTGAACAAGCGTATTTATTAATGTCCATTCCTTCTCCATGAGAGGAAGAGAGCTTTATATCTTTGCCTACCTGGAGCTGAGGACGGCCTAGCGGGTTACAGGGGCTCCAGCTTGAAACAGAAGTGGGAATGGGGTGGTATCTAATCAGTCTTCTACTCTCGCCGCACTCAAGGTGGGAGGAGTCATTGGTTGCTTTTCTCCCCTCAGAAATGCTTTTGCCCAACAGTAGTACAGTTTATGAACTGATATCAGGGTAACAAATACTATATTTTACCTAAGGTTCGGTGTTGATAAGCATATGAAATTAGGTACTGCAATTTCTTGATTATAATCAAGCCCAATCACAAGGTAGTACTACTGTACTGTATATCTACCGTACAGGAGTTTCCTTAACAATTACACTTCTTCATTCGAAACTAGTAGAGCTTTTCTCAGGAGATAGTTATGAGGCTGGAGAGTTATAGTAGACTACCTTACTCTGTCCTTTTGACTATACGAACGAGAGCGAGAAACATCTGCGATTAACTAACCTTTCAGCTATTTCTATTTATTAATTGTTTACGTTAAAGTAATTCGTTCTAGTATTTAATTATTACCAGCGTTCTACTTGAATACAAAGTAAACATGAGATCTAGTACTAGCTATCATCACGTAGGTCACTGAGTACTTTATGTGTATGCTACGTGTAGTTAAGTGCGCCTTAAATAAGTGTATTTATATATACACTAGGAGTGATTAGTAGAGTCGATTGTCCCGGCGAACCTAACGGGTTACCGGGGCTCCGGCTCGACGTGCAGGAGAAGGAACGGGGTGGTTTTTAGTCAGTAAGAGTCTGACACTCCCTCCCGCCTCACGCAGGCGGGAGCAGTCATACGATGATTTTCCCTTCTTAAAAAAAAAAGTAGAGTCGATTGTTAAATATTATACATACATATTAAAATGTGGAATAGCCATGATTCGGCACGAATGGTCTGGTTCGACCGAAGTGATACCATAGCCTTACAGAAAACCAACGAAGCTGACTATTGATGTTTCTAGAATGAACCAAGATTTTTGTAGTATGCTTCACTATTTTTACTACTAAAGGCGTAATTCAAGTGGGAGGTGAAGTGGGCGAGGCTAGAAGTAGATTCTAGTATTAAACAGCCATTATTATGAGTTCTGTTTGTGGTTTGAGAAACTTTTAGGGGTGAATACTCTAGCAATAAACTAACGCAAGATATTCTTGCTATTTTTAGTCTGAAAACGTATAAATCTGTTTTCAAAATTTATTGGAGAGTATTGGTATTTGTTGATGCTGATGTAGGTGTTTTGCCCCAATTTTTGTACAAATTAGAAGTTTACATGTAAAAGATTTAGATCTGAAGATAGATACAGAAAGACTAGTCTGCTTTGATAATGCGGGAGAAGCCACAGATAAAAAGATATTATAATCTAAAGTAAACACGAGCTAAATTGACCACTTCTTCAAGGAACATCAGACACGCAAACGTATATTCTAAAGAAAGAGTAGATTAAGGAAACTCTTTCATCAATCAGTTCCAAATTCGCGGTATTTACTCTAAATTTTCCGCGAATTTCCCGAAGGCAACACACAGTCTACCGAATTAATATAAATATGGCGAATCTATGTTTGCCACGATGGCACGTTCCCAAGCCATAGAATAAATAAAGATGGTAGTATGTTATCTGTGGTCGGAGCACACGGTTGTATACTGGCAGGCGCCCACGTAACCATCAACAGTTTTATGTTTAAATTTCGAACCGCGAACTTTCGCAGTGATTGAAAGCATCCGTTACAATGATAAATCTGTTCCAGTGTTGGATTGGTCCTCCTGTAAGTTTACAATATTCCTTTTTTGAATATATTTGTTGTGTTCTCTTTGGCTATCTTTTTTTATTGTCTCTCTTTCTATACTTACTTATACTCTTTGCTCTTTGTCTATCTTGTCTAAAGTATCAATTTCGAGCTGTGAGCTCTCGGATTGATTGATAGCGTTTGTTTTCATAACAATTAATGTTTCAGCATTAGAATAGTTGTACAGTAAGATTCTAATATTACTTTTCCTTTCATTTTAGATATTTTTAACAGTTCTTTTCCCATTCAGGATCCAAAATATGAAAAACCAAATATTTATTTTCTTCTATTTCTCTGTATCTGTATTCCAAAATTTGTAACGTTTGTTTTGATTGTTGCTTTCGTCAATTTTCTTCGTCTTCCGAGAATCCAGATTTTGACTGCTTTCTTATCTATACTTTCTTTTCTTTCTTCCTTATTTATATATTCTGATTTTCATTTTGTAGCGGAATCTTCTTTATCACTCTTGATAAAAAATGGAATCAAATATTACAAATTCGTACATACTAAACGAAACTCTTGAAATGTATTTTAGCATTTATGGCTTTTGCATGCAATCATGTGATAGTCTGCGTTATTTCACAATTGAACTATATGTATAGTTTGCGGAATATTCCGACTGTTACCAAGAATATAATGTTATTTGAATTTCTATACGTGCAATCAGGAATATTTTTGTATGACTCAACTTCAGTTTGGTCTATTTTTATTATTTTTTCTATCAGCAAAGGAGCTAAGTGCTTTTTATTGTTAAATTTTAAAGAATGGATTTTTTAATTCTCGAATTGATACGAGTTCAAGATTAGTTTATTGTATATTAATACAGTACGTACCAACAAACAAAATACTATGTTTCTCCTAAGATGTATATCTTATATCTGAAGCTTGCTTTCTTTCCCTCATTGGCCGAGTGGTCGCAAGTGTTCAATTACCGGGTCGGGAAAAGTATTACTGGGTTTTGAAAAAATCACAGTAGTAGCACGGAGTCTGGAATTGTGTCAGTGTCAGGTATATGGCAACAGGCTCACCCCCTATTACATGGGATTCATATAACATAAATTGTGAAAAGTGGGTGTTATATTGTACAATGGCAGAATATGCAACTCTGCCTACCCCTTCGGGGATAAAAGGCGTGATATTATGTATGTATGTATGGCTTTCTTTCCCAAAAAATCCTTACTAATATTATAAATCGGAAAGTGAGTTTGTTTGTTTGTTTGTTTGTTCCACGTTCACGCCGTAACTACTTAACCGATTGCTTTAAATTTTTGCAGATGTGAAGTTAAAAGTCTGGATTAAATAATAGGGTACTTTTTATCCCGGAAAAATTGATATTCTCGAGGGAAAACGAAATTATTGGTATAGATGGCGCTGTGTGTATTGGTATATATGTCACATAGGCTGCTTTTTATCCTTTTGTGACGCGAGCGAATAGTGTTAAATAATCCCAAATCTGCTAACACATGATCATCATCAGCATTCTCCCTTTGACTTCTTCCAATTTGTTAATGCATATCAAAGAAAGTAAGGATCTCATGTGCGGTTTCTTAAAAAAGACATTGACGGACAAACAAAAATGATTTCCATTAAAACTTCTTTAACGTCCAAAGTTGGACGGTCGTTAGGCGGGGGATCGAAGAAAAATATGTCCATTTGAGAAAATGTTTTTAGATTGAGTCCATGAGAAACATATTGTGTTGTTCATTCAGTTTTCCTATAGCTAGATATATTAATATTAGATTTTCTTCTGGTAGTCTTTATTGACATTTTTAGTGTGTTAATTTACTGGAGAACTATAATTTAGCATTTGTAATTAACTTCTGGGTTGCAAAGTATTACTGGGTTTTTAACAATTCTCAGTAGTAGCTCGGTGTCTGGAATTGTGTCTGGTATATGACAATCGGCTCACCCCCTGTTAGGACTCATAACATAAATAGTGGAAAGTGGGCGTAATGTGCACCTCTGCCTACCCCTTCGGGGCTAAAAGGCGTTATGTTATATGTATATATGTATTCAGATTTAGACTTAGTTGCCTATTGCCCATTTATTCGATATCTGGGTGAGGGAAAGTTACATTCAACAGCCTATAAATGCCCACTGCTGAGCAAAGCCTCTTCTCACACGGAGAAGGTTTGAGCATTAATCACCACGCTTGGTCAATGCGGGAGAAGTTAAATCAGACATAGTGAAACATGCCCTAGATAGAATTCCAATAAATAAAGACTATTTGAATACCATTTGAACGTTAACCAACTATTGAGCTGCCCGTAGGTTGGTATTAGATTAAAGTTTCAGAATCCTTACTAATATTATAAATCGGAAAGTGAGTTTGTTTGTTTGTTTGTTCCGACTTCACGCCGTAACTACTAAACCGATTGCATTGAATTTTTGCAGACGTAAAGTTAGTAGTCTGGATTAAATAATAGGGTACTTTTTATCCCGAAAAAATTTGATATTCCCGAGGGAAAACAAAGTATTGGTATAGATGGCGCTGTATTTAAGGGTATATGTCACATGGGCTAATTTTTATCTTTTTGTGACGCAAGCGAAGCCGCGGGTAAAAGCTAGTAATTAATAACGTTTTAGAATTCCACTATTATGCTCGGTTTATTTAATCGCATCTTTGTGTTCAGACGTTCAGACTCGCTTACATGTTAATATTATTATGAAAGTTAACATAATTCAATAATTTTCATTGTATTCTCATTAATTAGGGACTTTATTGTTTTAGTCTGCGAATTTGCCCGTTATGTGGCTAGACTTTGCCCACACGATTACATTGTTTAATCTCTTTTAATTATAGTTTTAATCTTCGAAGTTTATTTTTGGAGGTTTTCAAAAATTATTTATTTCTCTAGTAGTTAGATATATTTAACAAGTACATTGAAATCTGTTTATTAACTAACACAATCATAAAACTATGAAAAGCGTTTTTTTTTAAACTTAAACGTTGCCCCACACTAGGATTTTCCCCTGTGTCGTGGGTGCGTTTACAAACATTCAAGTTTACACACACAATGACACCCAGACCCGAAACAACAATTTGTGGATCACACAAAGTGTTGTTCCGGGCGGGAATCGACACGTTGACCCGTGACAAGTTGCCCAGGCACCGCACCAATCGTGCAGTCACATTATTGATTTTTTTTTATTATTAAAACCAAAAAACCAGAACCAAATGCATCTCAATCCACGATCGTGAAACCGTTTAAGATGCTACTAAAGCCCCTACAAAGGAAAGCATTGTAAACGCCCCAGACCTTTGTTTATATCCCAAATCCGAACACCCATGGTTATCGCCCAAAAAGAAAATCCTCTCAAAACCCTTACGAAACATGTACAGCCAGCAAAGTAATTTGGTACCTATGTAGATAAGAATAAAGACTGATTGAGTATCTACACAAGTACAATGTACGGTACTGTACTCTGTAATTGTGAATCTGTAATTTAGAATAACAATAACTAATTAGTTATCTAACTGTACGGTCATTGGTCAGTTAACTTACTAATCGATCTTAGCTCAGAACCGGATGATCGACCTGTTTTTAATAGAAACTCCATAATAACATAACATTAACACGCCTTATATCCTCGAAAAGGCAGAGGTGCACATTACGGCAACGTACAATGTAACACCCACTCTTCACTATTTATATTATGAGGTCCCATGTAATAAGGGGTGAGCCTATTGCCATATACCGGGCACATTTCCAGACTCCGTGCTACCACTGAGATTAAAAAAACCAGTTGGTAATAATAACAACTAATGTTAAAAGTCAATCTTAATTCACAGATCTCGGATTTAGATCAAATATTCTTATTAATTTCGGCCATAAATTTGTAACCAATGGTTATTATCTGTATCTATAGTAATCTAACCGTATAAGTCATTTTTTACCTGCAAACCATACAAACTTGGTTGACCGTACAATGTTCGGGATTGGGGAAAATCTCACGTGCACATCAGACACGTTTTGTTGTTATCGCAAGATTTAAGCGCGCTTCAACTGCAAAACAAGATGGCTGCCGTGTAGTAATGGCGCCACTATTTATATTGATTATGGTTCTCGATTTTTTTTCTTTTGTTTATGGAATTCTTTATTAGTGTCGGTTGTTACCTCGTTTGGTCTAATTCTACACACAATGTAGACTAGATTTACCTACAATGTTCTGAAATCATGACTGTTGATGAAGCAAAAGAGGTAAGTAGGAATCGTAGTAATTGGCGTTGCATAGTCTATGCCTACCGCGTGGTAGACAGGCGTAAAGTTAAGTATGTATGTATTGTATGTATATTCAGGAGCTCGGACGTATACACGTAGACGTACATCTCTAGTTAACCTTTAGAAGAAAGAGTACCTATTCCTTGCTAATTTGGTTTTATTTCCTGCCAGACTAAGGCCCATCTATCTAGGGATAACTTCTCTTCCACATTAACCTTTAATTTTAATTATTCTTTAGGTACAAAATCCTTTACTTCTTTAACAATAAAGTGCTTCTTTTACATAAATTGAATACTTAAGTATCTTGCCAAAAGTAGGTAAAGGTCCCAACTCAACATTGCGTAAAATTATTTACAGCAAAATTAATGGCCAGTTAGGAACGGAAACCTCTTTGGAGATAACTCCACCCGTGAACATGGAATGTTCATGCGAATATCTCACGGATTTGTATTTGGAATATGAAGCCTATTTTTTTGTGTTCAGACTCTTGAAACAACGACCGTGACACTTGGTTACTATACATAGGTATGTAGATTTACACGCAGAATAAACACACATTTACACGAAGGACATCTGTCATTTTCTTTTGACTGTTTTTTTATGGCGTAAGCCAGTATACGAGCAGACGGATCACTTGATGGTAAGCATTCGGCGCCGCCCATGGACACCTAGAGCATCAGAGGCGTTACAAGTGCTTCACCGGCTTTTTGGGGATTAGGAGTTTGAGGACCGTTGGGGATTCAGGGATTGGGGAGA